GCAAGAAAAAATTAGCTACTACTTCTGCCAAACTGGGGCAAACAGGTTGAATCCCACCACTGAACTAGTCCACAGTTCCAAACCTGATACTCTTAAGTCCATTGGATTGTTGTTGTTAATTGCGAAGTCGTGTCCGACCCATCGCGACCCCATGGACAATGTTCCTCCAGGTCTTCCTGTCCTCTACCATCTTCTGGAGTCCATTTAAATTCACACCTACTGCTTCAGTGACTTCATCCAGCCATCTCATTCTCTGTCGTCCCCTTCTTCTATTGCCCTCAATCTTTCCCAGCATTAGGCCCTTCTCCAGTGAGTCCTTCCTTCTCATTAGGTGGCCAAAGTACTTGAGTTTCAACTTCAGGATCTGGCCTTCTAAAGAGCAGTCGGGGTTGATCTCTTCTAGGACTGACCGGTTTGAACGCCTTGCAGTCCAAGGGACTCGCAGGAGTCTTCTCCAGCACCATAGTTCAAAGGCCTCAATTCTTTGCGCTCAGCCTTTCTTATGGTCCAACTTTCACAGCCATACATTGCAACTGGGAAAACCATGGCCTGGACTATACGCACTTTTGTTGGCAGGGTGATGTCTCTGCTTTTTAGTATGCTGTCTAGATTTGCCATAGCTTTCCTCCCCAGGAGCAAGCGTCTTTTAATTTCTTGGCTGCAGTCCCCATCTGAGGTGATCTTGGAGCCCAGAAAAATAAAATCTGTCACTACCTCCATTTCTTCCCCATCTATTTGCCAGGAATTGAGAGGGCCGGATGCCATGATTTTGGTTTTCTTAATGTTGAGTTTCAAGCCAACTTTTGCACTCTCCTTCTTCACCCGCATCAAGAGGCTCTTTAGTTCCTCTTCACTTTCTGCCATTAGAGTGGTATCATCTGCATATCTTAGGTTGTTGATATTTCTCCCGGCAATCTTAATTCCAACTTTTGATTCATCTAGCCCTGCCTTTCTCATGATGTGCTCTGCATATAAGTTAAATAGGCAGGGCGACAGTATACAGCCTTGCCGGACTCCTTTCCAATTTTGAACCAATCAGTGGTTCCGTGTCCAGTTCTCACTGTTGCTTCTTGACCCGCATATAGGTTTCTCAAGAGACAAATAAGATGGTCTGGTACTCCCATCTCTTTAAGAACTTGCCACAATTTGTTGTGATCCACACAATCAAAGGCTTTAGCATAGTCAATGAAGCAGAAGTAGATGTTTTTCTGGAACTCCCTAGCTTTCTCCATGATCCAGCGTATGTTGGCAATTTGATCTCTAGTTCCTCTGCCTCTTCGAAATCCTGCCTGTACTTCTGGTAGTTCTCGATCCACATACTGCTGGAGTCTAGCTTGTAGGATTTTAAGCATAACTTTACTAGCATGTGAAAGGAGTGCAATGGTGCGATAGTTTGAACATTCTTTGGCATTGCCTTTCTTTGGAATTGGAATGTAAACTGACCTTTTCCAATCCTGTGGCCACTGTTGAGTTTTCCAAATTTGCTGGCAAATTGAGTGTAGCACTTTTACTGCATCGTCTTTTAAGATTTTGAATAGCTCAGCTGGAATACTGTCACCTCCACTAGCTTTGTTGTTGCTCAGATTTTCTAAGGCCCATTTCACTTCACATTCTAGGATGTCTGGTTCGAGGTCAATGACCATCTCATTGTGGTTATCTGGGATGTTAAGCTCATTCTTGTATAGTTCTTCTGTGTAGTTTTGCCATCTCTTCTTAATCTCTTCTGCCTCTGTTAGGTCTCTGCCATTTTGGTCCTTTATCATGCCCATCTTTGCATGAAACGTTCCCTTCATATCTCCAATTTTCTTGAAGAGATCTCTGGTCCTCCCTATTCTGTTGTTTTCTTCTATTTCTTTGCACTGTTCATTTAAGAAGGCATTCTTATCTCTTCTAGCTACTCTCTGGAATTCTGCATTCAATTGGGTGTATCTTTCTCTTTCTCCTTTGCCTTTCACTTCCCTTCTTTCCTCAGCTATTTGCAAAGCTTCCTCAGACAGCCATTTTGCTTTCTTGCATTTCTTTTTCTTTGGGATGGTTTTAGTTGCTACCTCTTGTACAATGTTGCGAACTTCCATCCATAGTTCTTCAGGCACTCTGTCTATCAGATCCAGTTCCTTAAATCTATTTGTCACCTCTACTGTATATTCATCAGGAATATGATTTAGTTCATACCTGAGTGGCCTAGTGCTTTTCCCTACTTTTTTCAATTTAAGCCTAAATTTTGCAACGAGAAGCTCATGATCTGAGCCACAGTCAGCTCCTGGTCTTGTTTTTACTGACTGTATACAGCTTCTCCATCTTTGGCTGCAGAGCACATAGTCAATCTGATTTCTATGTTGACCGTCTGGTGATGTCCATGTGTAGAGCCGTCTCTTGGGTTGTTGGAAAAGAGTGTTTGTTATGACCATCGTATTCTCTTGACAAAATTCTATTAGCCTGTGCCCTGCTTCATTTTGTACTCCAAGGCCAAACTTGCCTGTTATTCCGGTTATCTTTTGGCTTCCTACCTTAGCATTCCAATCCCCCATGATGATAAGGACATCATTTTTTGGTGTTAATTCTATAAGGTGCTGTAGGGCTTCATAGAACCGGTCAATTTCATCCTCTTCAGCACCAGTGGTTGGGGCATAGATTTGGACTACTGTGATATTGAATGGTTTGCCTTGGATTCGAATTGAGATCATTCTGTCATTTTGAGGATTGTATCCCAGTATTGCTTTTCCTATTCTTTTATTGACTATGAAGGCTACTCCATTTCTTCTGAGGGATTCTTGCCCACAGTAGTATACCTGATGGTCATCTGAGTTAAATTCACCCATTCCTGTCCATTTTAGTTCGCTGATTCCTAAGATGTCGATGTTCAGTCTTGTCATCTCTTTTTTGACTACGTCTAGCTTGCCTTGATTCATGGATCTTACATTCCAGGTTCCTATGGAGAAAAAATCTTTACAGCATCGGACTTTCCTTTCACCACCAGATATATCCACAGCTGAGCGTCCTTTCGGCTTTGGCCCAGTCGCTTCATTCTTTCTGGCGCTACTAGTACTAGCCCTCTGCTCTTCCCCAGTAGCATATTGGACACCTTCCGACCTGAGGGGCTCATCTTCCAGCGTCATATCTTTTTTCCTTTTAGTACTGTCCATGGGGTTTTCATGGCAAAGATACTGGAGTGGTTTGCCATTTCCTTCTCCAGTGGATCACATTTTGTCAGAACTCTCTGCTACAACCCGTCCGTCTTGGGTGGCCCTGCATGGCATAGCTTATAGCTTCACTGAGTTACGCAAGCCCCTTCGCCACGACAAGGCAGTAATCCATAAAGGGGAAGTCCATTGGATAGGCAATGTTAAAAAAAAGTATCCAAATGGCTACATAAATAATTTCTGCACGTAGAATTGCATGGAAGAACATTTTGTCTTTCTCCGTTAGATAATAAAACATCTTGGGCCAAGCCAAAATGGAATCTGTTATGATGACTTCATCTCAGCTGCAATCCCCCAAAATGTTCGGAGAGAAATAAGATATCTTAATTGTTTCATACCAGCAAATACCATTAAGATGGATGTAGAGGTTGCCAATCAGGTTTTTAAACATACCCCAGTGGTTATTGAATCTTTTTTCTGGATTCATACAATAAATTGAACTGAACTAATCAAACAGGTTGGATTCTTACATAATGTTAAAGTACAAAAATAACCTAATTAAGGTTAACACTAATCAAATTTAGCATGTTGAATGGCTGCATTTTTTAAGTCATTAACCAACCTAGTTAAGTGTGGCTCTCTATAGCCCTAGTCAAAGCAATATTATAATTCCTCTTATGGCTTAACCTCAGTTTGAATATCATTTATATTTTTAGATAAGGGAATATCAATTTGAATTTACTGTAAGTACTGTATATAGCTGCATGGATGGAAAGGTAGACAGATACTTATTCAGTTCAGAAAACAAAATTAATATGAGAGCCGAAGAAAATGCAATAGAGAAAAAAATCTTGTCACTCAAAATAGCCTTTCCAGTAGCTTCTTCAAATCTTTATGAGGATGAGGATGATGAGGATGAGATGAGGATGATAGTGGTGGTTATATCCATTCAGTCATGTCTGACCCTTGGTGATTCTATGGGCCAGGTCACTCCACATCTTCCAGTCTTGCACTATTTCTTTGAGTTGTTCTATGTTCTGGCTGGCATCAGCTTTGATAGTGTCCAGCCACCATGTTCTTTGATGGCCTAGTTTCCTTTTCTCGCTAATTCTTCCAAATACATAATTGCTTTCTCCAGTGAATTCCCCCTCATAAAATGGCTAAAATAATTGAGACACAGTTTTGTGATTCTTTATGAATATAATTTCTATCAAACCCAAACAGCATGGTCAATGTGTTGTGTTTAATTGTGTTTTATTGCTTTATTGCCTTGATTTATAGGAGATTATTTTATTGTTGATGATTGTGTTGAATTCTTTTTAATTATAGTTAATTCATATTGTCCTTTTTTGATTATCCCTTGGTGAATAATGCAATGATGGTAAGAATTGTCATCCAAAACATGTTAAACACTTCAGGTTGAGCTTGAAATTGCAAATGCTCCAATGAACATGGTATCTTTTTTAAAACTTAAATGAAAGCAGTTGTTTAGCCATTCTGAAAAGGTCAGGATGTCAGTTTAATTTCCAGTGACAACTTCCAATGAAAAGAACCATATTAAAAGAGATGCAGCATACGTCTACTTTGATTTTTCTATCATATGGGCTCTGCTTTCTTCTATAAAGGAAATTAGGCATTACATCTTCAGACCTTGGTGCCATCTGAAAAATGGGTGGAAACCTAGCTCCTGAAACACTGTATGCCTTTGAGATAGAATTTTGCTTCTCAGAAGTGGTACCCCCCCCCCTTTTTAAGGCATTTTGAAGAGAAAGCAATGCTTTTAACAAAAAACACTGCAAAACAGACGGCTGCCACATTTTTTGTTTTTGACAGCCTTTCTCTTTTTATGTTTGTCCACAGGTTGGAATTATAGAAGACTTCCTATACCAATTAGAAGATAGTTTCTTAAAAACCAAGAAACTCAGAACAGCAAGACGACAGAAAATGAAAATGAAGCGGCTTCAGAGCGAACAGCCATGCTAGGCCTACTAAGGAGAGGCTCATATCCTGTGCCAGAAATGGCAAGAGAGAACATTTTTACTACAGGAATTTGACAATGCAGGCTGGCCTTTAATTTGATTGTAGAAAGGGACATCTCAAATTAATGAGATGTCCCTTCCGTACAACTCATCTTAGCAACCAGCTCCTGCACTTCATTAGTCTCATCAGACAGGAATACATATTCATGAGATGCTTGACAGGGTTTTGTGGTCTTGTTTATTCATACCCACTCAGGAATTTCAATCACTACTGCATACCTTGTTTTGGGCACAATACAGTCAGTACACTTTGGGCTGATCTTTTCCATTCCTAACACAAATCTTTTCCTGGAGCAGATCCTGCTAGACAGTGTGTCATGTTTCTTTTCAGTCAGTTCAGAACTATACAGAGGGTAATCTCTTTCAGAGAAATTTCAGAGACTTAATTGCGATGCACATGAACATATAAAAAGGCTGTAGGTCTTTGACCATTACTGACTTGGATGTGCAACATATGGATTACCAAACTGAATGCAGCCTACTGAATATCTATGGTGATCCATCAAGTATGTTCACATTCATAAGACCACACTTGGAATACCGCATCCAATTCTGGTTACCATGATACAAAAAAGATGTTGAGACTGTAGAAAGAGTGCAGAGAAGAGCAACAGAAATAATAAAAGTTCTGGAGGCTAAACCATAGGATGAACGAGTGAGGGAACTAAATGTGCCTAGTCTACCGAAGAGAAGGACTAGGGGTGATAGGATAGCACTAAGTACTTGAGGGGCTGTCACAGAAAAGAAGGGGAGCAACCTATTCTTCAGAGCACCTGGGGGCAGGATAAGATAAAAGATCATTAAAGAGATATCCAATCTAAAATTAAGGAGAAATTTCCTGACACTAAGAACAAGCAGTTGAGCAGCTAACATCTGGAATTTGTAGCTGCTCCATCACTGGAGGTATAGGATCTCCTGCTTTGAGTGGTTGTTGGACTAGAAAACTTCAAGGTCCCTTTCAACCCTATTATTCTATGTTCTACAAGAAATAAAGCTTGCTAATACTTTGTTAAGCTACTATATTAGTGGCAACTATAGTAATATTGGAAGAATAGGTAACAGTTCTGATGACAATGACAACCGTTCTGGAGAGCTAAACACACACACACACAAAATGTTACACTTCCAAGACTTTTTCTCCTGGCTGTTAATCCAATGTGTACACATTCAAAACATTAAATAGTCCTACTGCCAAAATTAGTTGCAAGAAGCAAATGACCAAATGGAGCCTTCTATCTATTCCGTATTTAGTGGCAAAGTAAATCATATTCTGTCCTCTGATAGGGAGTAAATCATTAGAGGGTTATTAATCCTACGTTTAGAACTGCCACTAGAACTGCCACTTATTTTGCTTATTGGTAAGTTCAACGAGTAGTAAGTTTCCTAGTATATGAAAGCCTTGACAGAAATCATGCCTTTAGGCAGAAGGAATATACCCATGTTCAAAGATCCATTGTTCTTGGGTGGATCTGTTGTACTTCGATGTCTGCAAAGTCAAAAATTTGGGACACTGCTAGAAAGAAGAACAATTTTCTTGAGAATTGCAGCCACAGTATATTAGAGCCATGGTGTTTATATTCTTCATCATTTAATTGAACTACAGAAAGTTAAACTTCTTCAGTTGATATAAAAGTAGCTGTTCTTAAAAGCTTCCAGTGTGTATAATGCCTAGCTAATTGCTAAAGCACCATCCAGCTTTCTTATCCATAAGGACAGTGTAAATTAATTAATCCAGAATCATGGTGGAAAAAAATAGCACAATTCTTATTTATTCTTCCTTTCAAGAATACTGATTGGGATATCACTGTTCTTTTACTATTATTTTGCATTCCAGTAACCATTTCTCATATCTAAACTTTGTCAGTCAGATAATTGAATAAGGTATCCAAAAACATTTCCTCGTATAACTCAAGATAAAATTGCTGCTTTTTTTCCTTGCTTTATGTTTGCAGTAGTAGAATTATTACTTTGCCCTATATCTTTGAATTTGACTTTCAATTATTCTGCTTAAGCACACTTGTGAGTTACAATTTAGCTTTAAAATTGAAGTGGCGGTTACTCAGATTCCAAGATTATTTTGTGTGTGTGTGTGTATAAGCCTTACCTAATTTGCCTCTCCTCTATCTCATCCCATTTCTAGGATCAAAGTCAACACAAACTATGAACAATACAACAATGCTGGCAGCATACTTCTCTGCATGCCTTTAGCTTTGGGGTCAGTCAGCAAATTTCAATAGCAACAACAAAATCAGATCTAGTAGGAAAGAAGGCTATGCTCAAACCAGCAAAATAAAAAGGAAAAAAAAAATAGACAGCATCTCTGCTATTTTCCCATAATCTGAATATAACATTCAGAGTCTAAATTTACAGAAATACCTAGTTTTATCTCAAAACAATTTGTAAATCTTTAAGAGCGCAGCAATTTTATCTGTAAGGCACACACATCCCGCTTTTTATATTTAAATGTTCAAGAGTTGTTATATTTAGCAATCTGCTTGAAAACTATAGCCTAAGTTACCATCAAGCATTTTAATTCACGAATTCTAAAGTTCTGTAGAGGGAAAAGAAAAAGTTAAAAACAGCCTTTTGTTTTTAACTCACCTTCCAGATAGACAGCAGTCTTTTTTTGCTTAATTCCAAAATTGTTCTGAATGAAAATAGGCTTAATTCACTCACCATCATCCCCATCCCTCCCTTCATTCAATTAGTTCCAGCCTGTGACTGCTGCTATATTGGCTAATGTTCTCTCTGAATCTCTATAGCAGACATATTAAACACAAGGCCCATGGGCCGGATCCAGCCCACCATATGGTTGCGTCTGGCCCACACAGCTGCTCTGGAAACGCACTCAGCTTTAGATCCATGGGGCAGCCCTGGAACTAGTGATGGGCGCCAGCACCCAACCCCCTGGGCGCGCATGTAGGAGATGGTGAGCAGGCGGAGTCTGGCATCCCTGCTGGCTGTCTTGCCCGCAGGCTGACTTCACCCAGGACGCCGGCGCTGGCCGCCTCCTGTGCGCACACCCAGTGGGCAGGGCAGAGGCAGTGGGGCAGCTCTCGCTGGTTCCAGGGCTACCCCATGGATCTGAGTACATTCTTGCTTTGACAAATGCTACTAGGTTGTAAATCAGTGCTCCCACCCAGCACCTACATGGCCCTAGCCTCTCCACCTCGAGGCTTCCCTTTCACCAGGACCACCTCCACCCACCTGCATGAGATAGCCATGGCCAGCGGCAGCATGGCCACTGGCAGCGCTGGCAATCTGTCTCCCTCCCTTCATTCCTTCCTGAGCACGGAGGAAGGAAAAAGATGGGAATGAGAAGCAGGGGAGGAAGGAAGGAAGGAAGGAAGGAAGGAAGGAAGGAAGGAAGGAAGGAAGGAAGGAAGGAAGGAAGGAAGGAAGGAAGGAGAGGCAACTTGTTTGGAGATGCCCCAGTTCACACAGTTCTGCTTCAATCTTGGATCCACTGAGACTTGGGCTCAAAGGAGAAAGCAATTTTGTGTTCTGTTTTGTCACAGACATGACTTTGTTGGCAATCCAAATTCACATTGGTATTCTTGAATTGTGAACTCTTAGGAAAGTATCCCCTAAGGAAGTCCTACCTTAGCACTTGGCCACGAGCAGCCATCCCCTTGCCCCCTCCTCCTGACCTCTCCTGGTGGTCTCCCATCTTATTGCTGAGGATGCTTTTGTTACAAAGCCAGGTCTCTTCACCGAGAGAGGGAGTGGGCCTCCCTCTGACCCACACATTTTGTCCTCCTGCACACACCATGAGCAACATGGCCAAGGAGAGCAAGCCAATCAGCAGCAGCCTTGAGGAGGTAAGCACAGCCCCCTTGGGAAAGGCTGGACTGGGCACTTGCCCTCCACTGTCCAGGGTTCTGGGCAGCCTGCATCACTGGGGGTCCTCTGCATGGCCTAAAAGGGACAGCAAGGCTCCTCTGGTGGACAAGGGTATAGTGCTCACCCTGGTCTCGCCTTCCTTGGCTGGAGACAATGGATCCCCCCATCTCTGCCCAGGCCACCACAAGCACCCCCCGACATGAGTGATGTTGAGCTGGCCATGCCCCCTCTGGCTACGCCTACCCCGCCCCCCCATAAGACCAACCACAACCCTGATGCAGCCCTCGATGAAATTGAGTTTAACATCCCTGCTCTGTAGCTTAGAGCCGTGGTGGTGAACCTATGGCATGTGTGCCACAGATGGCATGCAGAGCCCTCTCTGTGGGCACATGTGCCATCACTCCAGTCCTATGCCTTCAGTTGAGTTTTATAAAACCTTTTTGCTTTAGGCCTTCACCGCCGTGTGCAAAAAGAAAAGTTTAATCATTCAATCAATTTCAACTTCTCATGGGGAAAAAAAAAGATCTTGCAAAGTTGGAATTGATTAATTGAACTTTTAAGCCCCACCCAGCCTACCATTACCACCGCAGCCACGCCCACCCAAGAGGCCACATCTACCCAATGGGCCACACCCACCCGGCACCTGATGATACATAAGTGAGTTTTGGGTTTCAGTTTGGGCACTCGGTCTCTAAAAGGTTCGCCATCACTGGCTTAGAGGGATTTTTTTTAAAAAAAACAACCTATAAATTATTAGAACATTCCAAGCGGTGTTCCATTTTATCCAAGACAAAACTTCTGAACGTTGATATTTCCTTCCAAGCTATTTTGTGTTTGCAATGTTTTCTGCTCATTGAACCTCTGGACTCTGGGTTTCTGTTGTTGAGCTTCAGCAAGGTTCCCCTATCACATTTCTTACTGTCTGGGTACTTGCTTACCATAAAGTTCATCCTGGACATAGGATGGCTAGCCATGCCTCTTTTTTCACCTTCAAATGTCTGTACTTTTCTCGATGGGCAATACGTAGTCTTGGAAAGCCTAGGCAAGATTTTCATAAGCTCTTAAATCAAAATGCTGACAAAACACATAATAGTTTGATTTATGCAATCTGGACTCAAAGAAAACTGTGCAATGGAATCAAAAATGGAT